CTTCTAACTTTCATAAAACTCACTTCGATCACGAACCAGGCTTCGGCGTGAATTCTTTCTCGCGCGGAGCCAAGGACCGAGGTATAAATCTAGCTCCAGAGAGATCTAACAAGTCCAGTTAGCGGCCCTAAGACTCCTTCTAGCCACTGACACGTCGGCCAGCCTTGTGCAAGGAAGTCTGGCCGGGACCCAGACAGTACTAGACCGGAGCTGGGAGGGCGTCTCAGGGAAGCAGGGGACCACTGAATTCAGAGTCAGCCTCTATCCCCCACCAGTGTGGTCTCTGAGGCTGGAGGGCTCTTAGCCTGAGATGCCATGGTGGAGCTACTTTTACAGGGGTGCAGCCCACAGGGTCAGGGCCCTACAGTGGTCACTGCTCCCTGGCGTCTGTCAGCCCTGACTCTCCCTTCTTCTCCAGGGCCATACCCAGCAGTGGCCAAGGCCTGTTCTTGTCTTTCTTTTTTTATTTTATTTTTTTCTGTTCTTGTCTTTCCATCTCTCAGCAAGACTTGCCAGGAAGTGAGATTTTATTTCTCTCCCGAGGGCACAATCTTTGAAAAGCCCAAGCAGAACCTCCCCTTCTTTAAACCTTCCCATGACTTCCTACTGGGTAGTGTCCAACCCCTAGTGATGGTCTTCAGGGTCTTCAAACCTCTGGGCATAGACACCCTCATTTTCCCCAGACACCTCCCCCCTAGCTGCCAGTCTCACAGTTCCCCAGAGAGATGATCACTTCAGCCAACAAGCCTCCGTCCGTTCTCCGAGATGCCTGCTCCGTCTGGCGCAACTCCTCTTCTGCCTGTCCAGTGTGCCTGCCCACTTGTCAAGATTCCACTCAAGGACCCTCTGGACCCACTAGGGGACCCACACTGCCATGACACTCACCCAGCTGGTCCGTGCCCCTGCCTTTCTCTCACAGCCCTATGTGAGTGTGAAGAGCAGGAACCAGTCGGGTTCATCCGGTCTACTCCACTGGGGCTTCCTGCGGGGAGGGCCCATGGATGTCCCCCCAGCCCTGAGGTTCAGCTTAATTCTGTGTGTGTAAATGAGGAGAATTGAGAGTATCGTCCCAAATAGAGAGAACCAGAGAGAGGCCAAGCTGTTTATTTGGGGGGTGGGGGTGGAGCAGAAACACAGCCGCCCCTGAAGAAAGGACAAAGGTGGATCTTCATCCCCAGAGAGGGGTCACTGGATCACACAGCGCTCCTGGGCTGTCCTGCTGCTCACCACTGGCCAGGGACAAGTGTGCCTCAGGATCATCGTGGGATGAGCCCGGAACGTCCCTGCCCCAATCCCTGGAAAACAGACATGTGTGATGAGGAGCCAGAGAGAGAGGGCAGAGAGATCAGAGAGCTCTATATTGCTGACCCATGCCTATATACCTTTTGGAGGCATGCCAGCCCACTAATTACAGGTAGAGACATATGTCACAGGGAGTGGCTGCACTATAGGTTACGCAGCCATGAGAGGGTGGTCTAGGGGGTGGTCTCTGGGTCTCCAGAGGAACCATTATCAGTAGGGTGCAAACTCCTCCTACTGGAACCAAGCTAATGGTCCCAAGCTTCAGAGAGAAGTAGTCCATTGTCTCCAGCAGCCGGGAGCAGGCCCAGTGCAGTCTGGCAACTGATCGCCCTCAGGTGGGGGATTGCCTGCGCATCTGGCGTCCCCCCACAGAGAGGGATGGGGGTGTCTGGGGACAGAAGTGACAGGACTAGGACTGAGGAAGGATGGAGGATGGTGCCCCAGGGTCTGGCTTTGGCAGCTGGGTGGAAGGAGGTGCCAAATCTCAAGAAAGGAAGAAATTGGGGGAGCAGTGGGGTGCTTGTGGAAGCAGGGGGCACCATGGGCCACTTGAGTGCAAGGGGCCTTTGGTGGGATGCCATTAAGATCTTTGGTTTGGGGGAGAAATCTGGGTTGGGGGAAGGAGGTGGGGCTGGAGGGTGGGCAGGGGTAGAGAGGACTTCTCTCTCGCTCCTTCT